CTACCATCTTCCTGAAAAAATAAAACTGGGCGGAAAAACGATCCCCCCCCCCCTGCAACGGTGGTTTATGTTTTATGAATCAACTCATGATAAATGTGTGCGTACACGAAATCGCCTCGAGACGTGATGGACTCTTGGGGAGGAGGGGGACAGGGTATAACTTCTGATGTGACGATGACCGGAGGGGCAAGGGGAAGTGGGGCTGATGGGGAGGGGGGAGTGAGTTTTCTTCAGTTTTAGCTTTAGACCCGGACTTTTGTAGCACTGGTGCCTGTGCAGCTGTAGGGGGAAGCCTGCCTCTATATATAAATGCCAGGCGCTACAATCCTAAGCTGCGCACCTTCACTTAAAAGTATATACCTCCGTGCGATGTTTCTACAAAAAACACCCGATAGTCGTTTATTTTCGTGTGAAATGCTATTTATACATGTTTTCTACTCAAACAATTGGGAATTTTGATTAAATCTAAGCAAAATATGCAAGAAAAGGTATGCAAAAGAGGACAAACCTCAAGCCGTGCATTGAATTTACACCATCTTCCAACAGCTGGCAACAGGGTTCTGCTGCTAAACCGTGTTTTTGCATCGACGAATACTTCACCAATCAACGGGCAATAGATCATCTCCACACCACTCCGTCCACATTGGTAAATGAATCCGTCCAAATCCATCTTTTTACCCTGAAATTCGAAAAAACCCCTTGAGATCCATTTCTTTTTTTTAAGATTTGGATTTCTTGCGCTATACGACCCAAATCCAGAAAGGTTCAGAAAAGTCCTTACGACCCAAAACCAGAAAAGCTCTTGTGATTCGAGAAAAAAAAATCCTCGAAAATATGCATTTTTGCATTTCACAGATACAAAAAACACATAAAAACTCTAGCAACTTCATGGTCTTCTCATCTGTCAGAAAGAATCGGATGTCCCGCATCATGAAATTCCTTAAAAACAATCACCGGAAGAGTCCTACTTTAACAAATTCATGGTTTCCCCATCTATCAGTAAGATTCGGATTTCTCGCACCATGAAATTCCTTACGACCCCAAACCAGAAAAGTTCTTGTAACTCATTACTGGGAGGATTTTCTTAAAGCAATTAACTGTGTTTCTTTGAAAAATCCACAGATCTGACGAGATTTTTCGAAAATAACAGTTCGGAGGCGAAAAGCCTTTTCTAAACAGTGCAGACTGTAGCAACTAGGTAGTCCCTGAAAGACTAACTAATGAAAAAGTTAGTAATTTTTGCGGCTTTTTGGCTTCCAGCATCATTTCAGAGTGTTTGTGCTGGAACTTTATCTATTTTTATAGGATATTCAGAATTTTAGCGAAATTTTTCATCAATTCTGTTTTTTTTTTAAAATATTTCAGCACTTTCATGAATTTCTCTTGTTCTTACAGTTTCTTTTTTTGGGAAG